TGTATGTGTATGTGTACATATACATACTTACCAATATAAACACATATATAACAAATATCATACATGACTCCCTCTGTTCTGTGAGAAAATATGAACAGTTGTTTTCATGGTAATTGAAGAAAAAAATATCAGATAGTGACTTAAAAATCAGTGTGCAGCCAACCTCTTTGCTTCAATTAATTTAAATAGTTTTTCTGTGTACAAATCTTTTAAAATTTTATCTCTTTTAAAATTTTAGCTCTGAGAAGCTTTTTAAAATATTAAACAATGAATTATTGCCTAACCACCTCCACAAACTATGCTTTATTCATCTTATTTTGTATATTTTTTGAGATGGATTATTAAATGTCATTAAAATTGTATAACATCAATACTTTATAGTCTCTTTTTGTCTTGATAACAATCTAGCAAAAATGCATGAAAGCTTTAAAACAGGGGCCTCCCTGGTGGTACAGGGGTTAAATCTCAGCTGTCAAGCGATCCTCAGCCACTGCAACATGAGTTTGATCCCCCTGCTAAGAAGCTGACCCACATGGCGCAGCAGACCTCTCCTATCTCCTCCAGTGCTCCCCTCTACAGTGTATTCCAATCTGCCTGTTCTGCTCCCCACTATCTCTGGTGAAGCCTCTCACACCCTGCACCTCTGACCTATATCCCAGATTTTACATGCATAAATAAAGAAAATTAAATCTTAAAAAATCAGCTCTAAAACATATTAAAATATAAATCAGTAAACAACAAATATTTAATAATACCTGACCCAGAATTGATGAGTTCCTCATGCACACAGCGCTGTTTGCAGGGTGGCTCAGCATTGTCTGATTGATTTATATAAGCATTCTGAGTGTGGTCCCTCGATACGCAACATGGTCTCTCATGAATATGAACAGAAATAATGAGATATAATGAGGTTTATCATGATATGGATTACAGATAGGTGATTGAGGAAAAAAATACAGAACATTTTAAATATTGTAGTTCCCCTCTGTCTTATCGTACAATATTTAATGTGTTTAGCAATAATAGGAATTGTCTCCAGTAAACAAGCATTTTTTATTTCCAGCCCCCAATATCAGTACGGAGCATTTGCCTTAATTCCATAATTTACAAAATAAACACACACCTGCTAAAGTTTCCACATATCTGCAATCACACACAAATAGTCTTCTACTGAACACATGTTCGATGTTAAGGATAATTACAAAAATTTAAAAAAATATATCATTCATTCACTGTGCAGGGATATCTAGATTTTGTTGTGTATATACTGGAGTTTAAATTTTCAAAAGTGATGTCAGAATAAACATACTATATACATATTCTAGAATCAAGGCAACTCATCCCTTTCTATTCATTTGCCTAAACTCGCTTGTGCTAATGAACACTCTTTGTGCCCAGCTCTTTATATCATAAAATCCCTGTTGCAAATAAAATTATACATAAATCTGGATATTTCATTAAAACAAAGTAGAAGTAAAGTTACTTAACAGCCAATAGATGTCAATCTGAAATAAGACAATTTTAACTTTTAACATAGTCAAATATTATATATCGTTATCAGTACACATTATTATTACACATTTAATATATTGATCTGTATCCTGAGTTGTGTCAAACAGCTTCCTTTTATGTTGCCGAAAGCTACAGGTGATGCATTTCTAGTACATCATAGAGGTTATGTCACTGAATTCATAGAATAGGTCAAAAATATTCCTAGATACAGTGAAAGAAAAAAAATTAAAAGATGACGTCATGGCCCTCCCTGGTGACACAATGGGTTAGGACGCAGCACTGCAAGCTGGCCACAGCCACTTCAGTGCGAGCTTGATCCCCAGCCCCAGAGGTGACCCACTTGGCACAGCAGACCTCTCCTGACCAGCCCGCTGCTCCCCTCAGTAGTGTACTTTGTTGATCGGCCTGTTCTGCTCCCTGCTCTGTCTCTGGTGAAGCCTCTCAGCCCCTCCTGCAGCTCTGGCTGGGACCCTAGTTTATATGCATAAATAAATCTTTAAAAAATGACTTTACTACTCTCTTATAATGTTATCATATGTTTATGTTAAAGGGACATTTGCAGAATTTTGTGAAAATTCATAAAATCATGATTCATAGACTCCTAGATTTCCAAGGGAACCACGAGACCTTTCAAACCAAATTTCTTTGTCAAGGTAGATTTATATCTCTATCTAATTTCTATATCAGGTAGATTGCTACCCCCTGTGAGTGGTGGCAGAAATGAGCACATGGGGAGGGCAGTCACCTTGGAAGGCAACCTGTATTATTGATACCAACTGGATATTTGAGCATTATTATTAATGATGTGAAGAGACAGTGACGGAGTGAGTGTGTTGCAGAATTTCAGGAAGCAAGTACAACTTAGAGACACGTGTGTCCACTGAACAGGTGATACCGCTAGGCTTTGGGTTTACAAAGTCTGTATTGCCCATTTTTCGAGGAACATTTTGTCATGTGTGTGAATCATAGTATACACCCACAAGTAGAAGTGGTTTTGAATTCTTAAAATGCCTGCTGCTCATTAATAGTCCAAGAAAAATGTACATATGCATTATAGCTGTTTATCTTAGGCTGGAATGAAATAAATGCAATTGTGGTGAAGCATAGACATGCACAATTTGTGTAAACACCAATAGAAATAACAAGATCTGAAAGGCACCAGAAGTTTATATATCTAGTATTCCCGATATTGCTTTTTCTGTAACTTCCCTTGGATTAAACATAAATATTGAATTACCACATTTTCCATTCTTTTTTTGTTTGTCTTTATTGTTATGGAATGTTATTTTACTTCTAGAAAGAGAGTATTTCTCATTCAGATTTAATAAGTTCATATGTTTTTATTGAAGAAATGTGTTTTTGGTGACAATTAGTGTTTTTCCTTAACATGACAATTTTTTCTTTGGTGATCCCAGGAAAGGTAAGTTAAGGAAATTTCAAACCATCTAAGTAATAGCCAATATAATGTCCCACCCAGAAAATTATATATGTCTGTTACCTATGAGCTTTATTACCATTCTCTTTGCCTGGTCCATGTTTGGAAGGACAGACTTCTCCCTGGTCACTTCTGATTCCTCTCCATGCTTATTTTCCCTCAGGGCTGCCCTCTCTCCAGGGACACCAGGTACCCAGAGTCACTCTGCTGAGGCAGAATCCTAACAATCCCCTAATCACGGTCTGTCCCTCCAGACCGTGTCATCTAAACCCCACTCCCCATTAAATCCAGAGCATGGACAATGTATTGCAGAAAATTGCATAATCTAAATTTGTTCCCACAAGATTCTATGAATACAGAATAGCTTCCTTTAGTGTGTGTGTGGGGGTGGGGAGGGGAGAGCCTATGGTACATATTAACACATCAGAGACAAATAGCAAAACAATGTCTGGGAGATTTTCCTACTATCACTGGTTCCCTAAATATAATACTGTGTAGGTAACAGTCTATCCCTTGCTGTAGTCACAACATTGACTCTGATGTGCCAAAATTGGGATAAAACGACAGAACTCTGCCCTTTATACACTAGTGAGCTGTATAGCTTCTGGATAAAGACCTTAATGAGAAATCTTGTTAACCTATAACTTTTCCTGGAACTTCTGTCCCTTGCCAGTGTAGAAATTGTCATGGCATAGTCTTCTTCTCTTTGGGAGTGGCTTTTTCCTTTGCGCAGTGGTTCATCGTTGTTGATTCTGAGTAATGGTAGTTTGAAAAGGACCAGCGATTCCACAGTGGCACTCAGTCTCCATATCCTCACCCCCAGGTTTGCATTCCATGATGTTCTCTACTGCACTCTGCCACCTGCTGGCATCTGATCTAGATGTTGGCACCTAAGGATCCTTTATTCCTATAACTGGGTTAAGGACTATGTTAATCGCTTCTACCTCCACTCCTCACATGAACTGGGTTTCTGGCCTTTGGATGCCTCCTGACCAACTTTCCTGCTCTTAGCCTCTATAAAAGCAAGGAAGTAAATTGACAGGATGATGAGCAGAGTTTCTACTGATACAGGTGGGGCAGAATGAGAAAAAAATAATGAACCTAAAAGTTTTCAATGTCAAAAGATCTCCCTCCACCAGAGGTCAAAAAAGAAAAACAGCTCAGATGGATTTCATCTATGAGAGACATACTCTGCTGAGATCAAATAAATTAAAGGAATCTGCTCATTAATTTATAAAACTTCCCTTTGCATCATTTTTTCAGGGTATGAAATCTTTTATTCCGTACATATTTTGAATGGCTTTCCAAGCATTGAAAATAGAAAAATAGAAATAGTGGTGAAGAAGATAACTTAGGACTTTGCATTTATGGAACTTTGAGTTAAAGCAGGAGACGTCTTACTGATTTCATTTATTCAATAGCATGTATTTCTGAGGATATGACAGTGTGTTTCTAAGCTGATATTGATACTGACATGTCAGGCTCTGAGGCCTAGTCTCCCAGCCAGGAATGGATCAAGCTGTAGAGGCAATACGCAGTCAGTCACTAGGCCACCAGGGGTTGGTATCTGGTGAAGCCACAGCAGGAACTTTGCCGGTGCTAAGACAAGCAAGGGAGGAGGAAAATTGGTTTAGAGAAAGAAAAAGTGTATTGAGGAGAAAAGGAACAGAATAAGGAGGGACCCCCAGGCGGTGGGTGGAACCAGGCCAGCGAGGGGCAAGAGAGTCTCAGTGGAGTCCTGCCGCGGGGAATCTATATATTAGGATTTAAATGTAGCTAAGCCTTTGCCTGCTTGGCTTTTAAGGTTTCTTTAGAATCATTCATACAAAACAAGTAAGTCTTATTATGGAGGGCAAAATCCATGAGAAAGTCCAGGACTGCTGAGGTGAGGGATTTTAGGAGTGTCACTGGCCTTTGGCTTGAAGGACACTGTGGTTTTATCAGGAAGATATGAGGTTCTTTTAATTGTTCCCTAGTAGCGGTGGCAAAGATACTTCAGCTTGGAACTGCAGCGTCCCAAACACCAGCAGGTACTGTAGCCAAAATGACAGAATCAGTGAGAACTGAGCTTCAGTACTAACTTTTGCAGCAGCTACAAGAGCTAAACGTGGCTGTGAAGACTTTTAGTTTGGAATTGCGTTACAATGACCTGTCCTAATAGAGGAAGTTAGGGAAGCAAGACTAAAACGGTTTAAACCTGTGGCCTTGTAGTGAGCCAGGTGGCAGCACTGTAAAGAGTCTGCTGAGGCAAGTTGGGGTGATGAGAGGCTTCAGGGACTTCATATTAGGACACAGGGAGAGAGCATCAACCTTAATTTAAGCAACTATACTACCTTCTTAGTAAGTTGATGAAAGCCATTGTTTTATTTTTTCCTAAAAATAAAATGGGATCTTATGGAGGCTACATTGAATTTACACTGCTCACCCTGGATAGCTTACTGGGACATAGCCATGAAGACAGAAGGGGACTGAGAAAGATTCTCTGCAAGCAGCAGAGAATGGATGATGACCCTTCTTAGTTTTAAAAGAGGACTGAAATCAATAATGACCTGTTCCTATATTAGAACAGAATCATGCAGACATATGAGAAGTACAGAAAATATCTAAAAAAGTGTATTAGTCACGTGACAGGAAGATATGCGAAAATAATTAAACCTTAGCTTCCAGGATACTTAAATAATTTGGGACAAGATGAAATGGCTTTACCTAAGACATAATTTAGAGTTAATCACTTTCTTCAGGGCACCCTTCACATCCTTATTCCTTAAGCTGTAGATGAGTGGGTTTAACATGGGGATGACGACTGTGTAGAAGACAGAGGTCATTTTGTCCGTGTCCATGGAATAACTCGAGCTGGGTCGAAAGTACATGTACAGCAGTGTGCCGTGAAACACAGCCACGGCCATCAAGTGCGAAGCACACGTGGAAAAGGCTTTGCGTCTCCCCTCCGCCGAGTTCATTCTCAGGATGGTGACGATGATGTAGCTGTAGGAGAGGAGGACGGTGATGATGCTGGACCCCAGAATAAAGCTACCAAAAGTAAACAACAGAATCTCATTGATCGACGTATCTGAAGTGGAGAGGGCCAGCAAGGGTGGGATATCACAGAAGAAGTGATTGATGACGTTGGAATTGCAGAATGTCAAGCGAAATGTCAAACAGGTGTGGACTGCAGAGTCCACCATCCCCGCTATGTAACTGATGGCCACTAACTGGGTGCAGAGCCGCCCGGGCATGGCGACTGTGTACAGAAGTGGGTTGCAAATGGCTACATACCGGTCATAAGCCATGACAGCCAGCATGAGGCATTCCACATCTGCAAAGGCTACCCAAAAATACATCTGCACAGCACATAAACTATATGGGATCCTCTTTTGCTCAGATAAGAAATCAACCAGCATCTTGGGAGAGACAGAAGAGGAGTAGCAGATATCACAGAAAGACAGATTGCTCAGGAAATAATACATGGGTGTGTGGAGTCTGGGGTCCACCTTGATCAGCAGGATCATCCCTAGGTTGGCAACCATGGTGATGCCATAAACCAGCAGAAAGAACATGAAGAGCCCTTCCTGGGTATCCTGTCTTGCAGAAAGTCCTACAAAGATGAACTCAGCAAACACCGTGCAATTTGCAGCAGCCATGCATCAAGTCTGGAAATCTCTGGGTGTAAAATAAGAAAATGGAAATGTCGCTTTAACTCAGCTTACTATTTTTTTTTTTAAGATTTATTATTTGTTTGTTTGTTTATACAGAACTGGGGTACAAGCCAGAGGTTAGGGGTAGCGAGAGGCTTCACCAGAGACAGAGTGGGGAGCAAAACAGGCTGACTGATGGAGTGCACTGCTTAAGGGAGCAGCTGGAATATCAGGAGAGGTCTGCCGCGCCATGTGGATCACTTCTGGGGCTGGGGGTCAAACTTGCACTGAAGCAGCCATGGCTTGCTTACAGGGCTGCATCCTAACCCACTGTGCCACCAGGGAGGGCCCTCATCTTACTATTTTTATAGAGAATTGGAATATGTCCATTACTATATAAATTAATAAAGGATGAAAATGTTTATATTTGTCAGACTAACCAGAGTTGGTAGCATAATTTCTTATGAATTATATTATATTAATGCTATTTCTGCACCCAGGTATGTTGAGTTCATGATAATATTTGCTATTTCCAGCTTATACATGAAGAAATTGATAGCTTCAGAGTTTGAGGCAAAAATTCTTTCAATTAACAAAAACCTATAACCCACATCTTTAGAAGATTGCTGATTTGTTTTTAATTTTGTGAGAATGAGTATAGGCTTAAACAGAGAAGCACAATTCAGTGAGAGGAGCAGATAATGAATATATGCCTTTGTTTTTTTTTGTTTTTTTTTTTTTAAGATTTATTTATTTGTACATACAGAACTGGGCTACAGGCCAGAGACTCAGGGGTGGCAAAAGACTTCACCAGAGACAGAGTAGGGAGCAGAACAGGCAGATTGACAAAGTACACTGCTGAGGGGAGCAGCGGGCTGGTCAGGAGAGGTCTGCCACGCCATGTGGTCACCTGCGGGGCAGGCAGGAATCGAACTCATGCGGAAGTGGTTTCACTTTCTTAGTGCAGTGCTTTAACCCGCTGCACCACCAGGGAGGGCCAATACCTTTGTTATCACTCAGCATCCTAGCTAGTACAGCAGGAATAGCTGAGCAGGTTCTTGGTAATAACCTCCACCTACTTTCTCTATCACAGCCCTTGGGGCCTCTCCAGTCTCAAAAAATAAGGGATAAAGCTAGTCTATGATTTGGGGCTCATGGTAGCAGGGGGTTGGAGGTTGCTGCAGGGTGGGGGTGAGGGGAGTGTGTTCTCCATGGGTGACAGACAGGAATACGCCAGGACTACACATGCTCTCCTCATAAGTTGATGTGGCTCAGGGGAGACTAGAACACTTGGGACCTAACCTTAGGGATGCTGGCTGCATAGGGCATCGTGAGGAAATGATAAGAATATTGTTATTATGTGTGTCACTCTCTGCCTTAGCAGAGTGGAAATTTGATCTAGTTACAAACTGGCCAGGCATGTAGCATACATGATAAAAATTACTCCTATGTCCATCATCCCATGCCTCAGAAAGTTACTGTCTGAACTCTGCTCCCTCATCCAGATTTCCTAGAAATTGCGATATTGTTTTATACATTTCTGTGCTCAATGCTTCAGTGGAACCACTGAAATCTACCTCTCTTTGGTTACAAAGAGTTCGTAGTCCTTGAGGCCCACTGAATTTTATTCCCCACACTTAAATTTAACTCAGACTCTTTATGTATTATTCATAATATTTTAAAAAAATCCTCTTTTTGTGAGAATCAATGGATTTGAAATCAAATGCAGAAAAGGGAAAAATATAAATTTGAATCATGATTTAATCATCAGTGGGCAGGTCTCCAAAACCTTTGTTAGTTCATTTAAGTATCAGTTCTCATAGACACATCTTTCTTTGAAATTCAGCTCTTTCAAAAATGAAATCACTTAAAATATGAGCAGCACAGATAAGTTAATAAAAGCGATAAAATGTGTTCAAGCACCTCCACCACCCAGACTTCCTTTTTTAATCTTCTGCTATATATTGCATATGTATTTACAGTAGATGGATTAGTAAAAATACATAATTATGCACATAACGTTTCATGGTTTCCTTTCATTTTCTACAATCTTCAGTTTAAAAAGGATAAAGAAACTATAAAACCCTGAAGTGTAAAGGAAAGAGGCAACAAAGGAAATAAATACCTGACCCAGGAGTGCCAGCTTTTTGTGCGTGGGGTTCGGAGCAGCTAAGCCTTGTCTCCTGGCTGCCTGGATTATATAGGCAGCAGGAGTCTGGTCCCTGGGTATTCAAGCCTCATCTCTCAGGAGTAAGTGATAGGTACAGTAATACGTTTTATCCATTCATATTCCACACAGGTAGCGTGACTGAGAAAGAAATACGACATCATTCAAACGCTGTTTCTTTGCCCCACTCTGTTTTACTGTTCAATGCTGTCCTTACTCAGCAAAAACAAAGGTCCCCAGCCAGTGAGCCCTCAAACCCCACACAGGCATTCCGGTTAATTCCTTAATTTAGAAACAAACACATACCTGCGCATGCTCTCACAGCTACGCAGGCCCACGTACCCAAACGGTCCATTCAACACACTCTCAAAATGGCAATTTTTATAACTAGGAAATATTGATCATAAGCACGTTGCCTAACTGAATTTGTTTTTACATTGATTATTATCATTTGGACTTAATATTTCTGTCTGTAGTAATAAAGACAGTAATAAAAGTAATATTTCTGTCTGTAATAATAAAGACAGTAATAAAGAAAGTAATAAAAATGATATCAGAATAAACATGTATAGTTCTTAAGAATAGAGGCAAAACATGCCTTCCCATAGTTTTACTTGTGGAGTTCTCTCTCACAAACTCAGTACAGAAGATGGAATTGAAACCCAGAGATGATAAGCCAACTTAATGTTTCGTGGACATATAGTTTCATTGACTCCGTTAGAAATCATTCACGATAGAATCCTAAACACCGTGCAATAAAACAAATTGATTTTGTTTGGAATACCTGCTCCCTTACCGGGTACTTCAATAAATCTGCCTTTTCTGTTCTCTGCTGTGTTCCTGTTGAGTTTTTCAGCCCAATATCTCCAGCCTTACTTCCCAACGCCCACTGCAGTTTTTAAGATAAAACTTAAATACTTTCAGAGGAATTGTGGTGTATTTATGTTAAAGTGACAGTTGACAATTCAGATGTATTTAAATACCCACTCAGAAACCTGAAATTCGTCAAGTCCCACTTCTCATTCAGCCAGGGTTTGGAAATGTATGTCTCTGTGCGCGTGTGCACACACACGTATGTACAATTTAAATTTAGTAAGTATTATAATGTCTTCCTAGCTGTCTACCAATTCAGTTTGCTAGCAGAAAGAATCCTGTGGCTTTTCTATATCTTCAACAGAAGCTATCTTGTCTATCATTTTAATTTTAGTCATCATATAGAGTACATTATTTCTCTGAAAACTAATATGGCAGAATGGACACTATCTGGCCCTCCCTGATGATGCAATGGGCTAAGGGGCAGCACTGAAAGCTAGCAGCCACTTTAGTGTGACTTCGATACCGGCCCCTGAGTGACCTCTCTGTTATGCCGGCTGCTCTCCTCAGCAGTGTACTTCCTCTATCATCCTGTTCTGCACCCCACTCTGTCTCTGGAGAATCCTCTCATCACCCCTGGCCTGCACCCCAGTTTTGTATGAATAAATAGATAAAATATTAAAAAAAATCTTTATTATTAAAAAAAAATAGGCACTTTTTTTCAGTATCTTAAGAGATACTGCGGTTATCTCTTAAAGTCAAATACAGGCTAGAACCTCCGTGAAGTGAAACTTTGCTGATGATATTGGGGACCTGCAGTCTGTGCTCTCTGTCATCATTCCATCACATTTTAAGTCAAATGAACAGCACTGTAAGACAGTCTCATATACAGATTTTTTTAAATTGCCTCAAATATAGAAATGAGTTATGCATTATGTATTCATATAATCATATCAGTATAAACACATATTCAGAAATTAAAAACTTTTTTTTTGGCCAGAGTAGAAATTGAGACCCAAAGAGGGAAAGTGATTTGTTGAAGGTGTAACTAGTGAGAATTGTTAGTAGGGACTTAGATCCAATTTGACTGCTGTTGTTTCTCCAGTTCGTAGCATATTTTCTCTAGAGAATTTCAAACTGGACTAAATTTGTTTCCTCTTTAACAAGAATCCACACTTAGAAACTATACTTTTTTTTTCTTTTTGTTCTTTTGTTTTAACAGATTTTGATAAACAGTTTTTCATCAATTTGAAGCTAATTGCTTGCATCATTATGCTTGCATGCTAATCTATTATCCAAGATTATGATTAAGGATGAAAGAGTCTGGGTCAGAAATAAGGAACTGCTATAAAGGAATAGATCTATAATAGTTGTTATCCAAGAGACAGACAGTAACAAGCAGAACTGAATTCATAAGAATACCTTTCAAGTTATTTAAAGTTGTTTAGATATGGGTAGGTACACTTTTGGGCCCAAGCTGGTGAAACCCTAAAGTCATATGTACTTGTGTGCTCATGGTGACTTAAAAATTACCTTAGTTATTATTAAAAGCAACTTACACACTGAAACCATTACCCAAGTGTCCCTTAGTCACCCTTGTCTGAATATGTCATCCATGAGAGGCATGCTCTGGACGTGAAACTACGCTGTTATTGCACATCACAACTCCCGACATTCCACCTTGCCAAAATAACCAATAACCCTATAAAAAGCTTGACTCCCTTCAGTAAGCCTAGAGGGGTCTTTGAGTGAGATCTCTAGGTCACTTTGCTTAACTCAAGTCCATGAAATTCTCTTTAAATGAACCTTCAACTTGGTCTGGACAGTTAGGGAATGCACGTAGTGAAAAGGAACCCTGAGTTCAGTAGCAAATTGACTCAGTCTGAACTATAGCTCCCAGGATACCATGAACCAGAGTTCCAGAATGGGGGTGGGCATTGAGGAGGAAGGAAGAAGGAGTGTGACAGATATATATTGGCATAGAACAAAGAGAAAGAGCAGTCAGTGGGGACTGCCCAAGGTTGGT